AACGATGGAACATTTGTAAGGTAAGGTAAGGAAGGATTAATAACCATCTCTTGAGATGGTGAAGAAGATTTGTAACTAAGATTGATGATTTTAATGGGGTTTTGTTCTCTGAGCTGGATGGTTTGGTCATGAACCTTTCATCGTCCTTCTGCAAGACATTATCAGCACAATCTTCAAATAGAAGTGAAGTGTTCGAATTGCTCCACATGTGGTTAACAGCTTGCTCTGTACACCTCAATGTTGATTGGTTCTTGTTGATCTTAAATCTCTTATTGTTTACTTTTTTGTTTTTGTTTGATTTGATTTTAGTTTCTATGTTTGTGCATAATTTTTCTGATTGGTTGATAAATTAGATCGATTTCATTGAAATGTCATTCAGAAGAACGATTAAAGTTCCACAACTAAATCATCCAATTTAGAGAACAAAACTTCATCAAAATAATCATCTCTTTTTGAATATATAAGTTAGGTTTTTGACACTTGATAGCAACAGTTTCAGCAAACTTCAGAAGCGTGGAGTTTGACTCCTTGAAAGATTGAAAGTTATCGGCCTGATGCTCTCTTCCTTGCATTTATTACATTTTTGAGTTTTATTTTAACTATCTTTCAGATTAATAACCTTATATTATATCAACTGAGCTCTATTCACTTTATTCCTATCAATGTTTACCCATAATGGAATCATTTGTTTCTGGCCGTTTGAACTACTGTCACAATTAATGTTGTAGAATGTTCTTTCACATAAGGTACATATTTACAATATTGAATGTATTCAATTTATTTACATCCTTGTTATACTATACGAATATGTCTTCAATATAACTTCCGACTAAACACTTTCATCTAAGTACTTTAGACAGATTTCATAATTATGTTTTGAATATATTAGGTTGTAAACAGCTGACGAGAACCAAACGAAATCAAATCAAATCATGCTATTCAACTAGAATCTTTGTTCTTGTTCTTTTCAAAATGATAAAAGGGAACTATGTGTATAAAATGTTAGATTATTATGTATTGTTACTGAAGCTCAAATGTCTTAACAACTAGGACAAAACGACCGTCCAGTACTTCCAAGGTTTTCCATGATGTTCTAACTTATGATCTGAATTATTAAAATAACATTATTTTGGTGGAGTTTTGTTCTCTGAGCTGGATGGTTAGTTCGTGGAGCTTTCATCGTTCTTCTGAACGACATCATCAGCACAAACTTCAAATAGAAGTGAAGTGTTTGAATTTCTCCATATGTGTTTCAAAGCTATGGAGAAATTCAAACACTTCACTTCTATTTGAAGTTTGTGCTGATGATGTCGTTCAGAAGAACGATGAAAGCTTCACGACCAAACCATCCAGCTCAGAGAACAAAACTCCACGAAAATCATCCACCTGAGCTACAAATCTTCTCCACCATCTGAAATAGCATTATGATTAACATTGTTTACAAGATACAAATTATTAAGCAACTATTATAAAATCAAGTTTATTCAGTCTATTTTAATAGGTTTACATAGAACTGTATTTACTTAAAATGATACATCGTTACAATATAAACGAATAATAAAATTACAAGTTAGTAAAAATGTTTATTTTTTTTATTATTTTGATTGATTGATTTTATGTCATGTTTATCGTTATGGTTAAGTAACTAAAAACTGTCCACTGGTATATCAAGTAAAAATTAATTACTTCAGTTAATAAAAGTTGATTTTCCAAGTTATTTCCATAGAAACTGTGACGTGATTCCAGAATTAGAATGAGTTTTGTGGAGATTTTTAGGAAATTTCACAGGTTGAAATCATGAGTCAATTGAAGCTAGACCACCATACTAAGACCCATTCTAGGACGAAACGGCCGTCCAGTGCTTCCAGGTTTTTCATGGTTGTTTAGCTTCAATTGACTCGTGATTTCAACCTGTGAAATTTCAGAATTCGTCTTTTATTTGTTATTTGAAGAATTGGCTTACATTAAGTTATTATTTTTCGCCAATTGGGATATAATTAAAACATAATTAACTTATGTTAGGTTAAGAAGGGGTTTTATGGAGATTTTAGTAATTTCAATAGTTGAAATCATAAGTTAATTGAAGCTAGATCATCATGGAAAACCTGAAAGCACTGGACGGTCGTTTCGTCCTATTGTGGGACTCCTCAGAAGTGCACATCCAGGATTGGTTAAAGTTAGACATTAAACCGTTGGATACCGGCTTATTGGTCTGATGGTTAAGCGCTCGCGCACGAGACTGATACGTCCTTGGCTCGAATCTCGTGGGGGGCGGGATCGTGGATGCACACTGCTGAGGAGTTTCATACTGGGACGAAACGGCCGTCCAGTGCCTTCAGGTTTTCCATGGTGGTCTAGTTTTAATTGACTCATGATTTCAACTATTGAAATTATGTTAGGTTCGTTGGTAATGATCTTATTATTCATGGTTAATTAGAATCCTCCTTAAAATACACATACATATATGTATCAATTAAGAGATTCATTTTTATTTTCAAGGTGTAAATCTCCATCAATTAACAACGAACTTGGTTTAGACTTTTCGAGTAACATTAAAAGGGATTTTTGTGGATATTATAGTAATTTAATAGTTGAGTTCGTGAGTCGATTAAAGGTAGAACACCATGGAAAAATTGTGAGCACTGGTAGGCCATTCCGTTCTAGTAATGGGCTCCTCATCAGTGCTCATTCACGATCCCGCCTCGCGAGGACCGAACTCAGGACCTATGGATCTCACGCGCAAACGCTTAACCTCTAGACCACTGAGCCGTCATCTGACGGTGTTATTTTATAGGATGTAATATGGCATACCAATATATTTCATAGGGTACCTAATATTAATGCTTATTTAGATCTTTAAGAATCAACCACTTATAAGAAACTTGATACTAAATCTGAAAGACGATTTGTAATGAGAAAGACAAGTATGTCATGATAGGTTTCCTTTTAAGTATCTCAAACAATATGAAGTAGATTACACTTCATGATATCACACATCTTACTTTAAAAAAATTTAGTGACTGTTAATATTGGTGATTGAATAGTTTAATACCAACTAATCTTCAGTATTAGTTTATGGTAATACTATGAACTATAACTACTTGTAAGTTTAACACTTTTTAAGTAAATTTCAGCATCTTTCATCAACTAGTATGCAATCGGAAATTGATTTCTTTTATGTTTTATCACTAATAAATTATCAAAAACATTAAACAATTGTTTTAATTCTGTTTTGAAACTTAAGCAATATAAAGTATACTGGGTCAGACCAAGTATAGGGTTATGGAGATTATTAGGTTTTTGATTGAGATCATGTACTGATTGATGTTAGCGGGAACGTGGATGTGTACTATTGATGAGTCCCACAATAGGACGAAACGGCCATCCACTGCTTCCAGGTTTTCAATGGTGGTCTAATGTCAATCGGTTCATAGTCTCAATCAAGAACTTTCTACTAAAGCGGTATCGATTATATATATAGATTATAGGGATTGTATACTATAGGATGAATTCCTTGTAAGATTATAATTATGGACTAATGAAGTGTCTCAGACTAAAAACAATACAATTATCCATTGCATTATATTTAGAAATAACAATCTTTTAAAGTGAAAACGTGAAATGATTGCAATTCTGTCCAACATAATGATTTTTTCTGAAGTAATGATATTATTTTATAATACCAGTCAAATAAGTTCACTCCATCTTTTTCAACGATGAATCTATTTTACTTTGCATATAAGTGAATACCTTTATTTATTAAACATGAACTGACGAAGTTTACTACTGCAGTCTTTAATCTGATATCAAACAGTTTTAGATTAAATTACATAGTATTACTAAAGTTTACCTAACTGTCTCAATTGTATAATAAATAGGACGAAATTCGCGTCCTGAATTCCATTGATAGCCACCATCTATCTTTGCTTATAATGTTCGTGAATTAAGGCAATATCGAGGTAATACGTACGGTATACACATATTCCAAAAAGAGACTGATCAGTTACAGTTCTAATCATCAATGGGAAGATTCAAGTAAACAATGTCAAGTGAATATAATAAATTCTTATCTGTCTAGACATAATTAAATTGATCTAAATAATATTTCTAAACTCACTTGGTATTGTTTACTTGTATCATCCCATTGTTGCTTTGGGATTATGATTGATCAATCTCTTGTTGGTATATGTGTATCCTATGCAAACTGCATCAATATTGCCTTAAGTCATGAAAACATATTATTTAAATGCAATTACTTCTAACTTATTTTTTCTTTGTCTATTTAAATGATGATGTGAATGATTTAAATATATAAATTCGATGGGAGCCGATACGTAGTAATCATGTTTGATAGCGAAATATTACTCTCTTCAGTCTTTGTTTGGAATAGATGAATTGGTTAATTTACAGGTTATGACTTGCCATCAAAATTCTAGAAATCGGTTTCTTAAATGTAGCCGACTATCAACACAAGTTTAGTCTTAATAATCATATGGTCACTGGTGACTAGTTTGCGGTTAAAGATAAATCTTTGATTATTCACCCTAGAAGATACTCACTAATTTAATATGCTTCAGGGAAACAATTGTATACAAAAGTAAACAATGTCAATCGTTGGTTACACAAAATCTAATAGATGAACTATATAGACTGTCCATGTTCTTCTTTATCTATCATCATAACAAATATAATCTGTAACCATCTAAACTAACACTTTCTAATCGTTATCCTCAACCAAAATGGAAAATAACTTAATTCAATTTTCATTATATGAATACAAATGTCAAATTCATGCAAATTGTAGTATCATAATTTACATTATGAAATCTAAATAAGTAAATAGATGAGTTGAAATCATGAGTCAATTGAAAACCTGGAAGCTTTCAGGTTTTCCATGGTGATCTATCTTCAATTGACTCATGATTTCAACAAGTGAAATTTCTAAAAAAAATCTCCACTAAACCCATTCTGATAAAAATAGATGTTACTTTTTTGTTTACCTTTGGTACTATATTGTCATACAAATTCATATCTTTCGTCATTGATATTTGATATGTGTTTGGTTTCATATTGTTAGGTGAATATAGTATGTTCTGTTTTGTTCCAACTGTTTCATTACTACTAATCAATGGTTTACTATATATATAAGATTGTACTGTTGGATAATTACAAGTAGTTGAATAATTTATTTCTACATTATTTATTGATGAATATAATTCATTAGATTGAAAAGTATTTACTTGTACAATGGTTGGTTGTAAATAATTCATTGTATCCTGTTGATTAGATATAAAAGGGATATTGAATTTTTCTTCTATACATTTATGATGTAATATAGTTTCTGGTGTATGAATTATTTCTGTTTCACCAGCTAACATTGCATTATCAACTTCATGTCGCCATTTAGTAATAGCTCCAAATTTTTCACGCCATAATTCTTTATGAATTAAATGATCATTTAAATGATTATTTGAATCATTTTCTTCTATTTCTTTATCATCATCATCATCAACATCATCATCATCAGCATCATAATTATGATCTTTATTAATCTCTATAGGATTGTTATCAGATAATAATTGAACTTTTTTAATAGAATTTTGATGTTTTATATCATTTTTATAATCATTAAAATATAATGGATTATTCGTTTTAGAATATGATAATCTTCCAGATACAGTAGCTAATACATGTTCTTCATATCGTTGAGCTGCTGGTGATAGTGACATTTTTAATTTAGAATTCACTTGTTCATTTTCATAATTATCATTATGATCATTGATGTAGTTTTCTTCTTTATCATCATCATCATCATCATCATCATCATCCTTTATATGAGAATCATAAATAATCTCTTCAGATAATGATGGATTATTTACTTCAGTAAATGGTACTAAATAACTTCTTAATTTCTCTGGAATTTTATCTTTTATTTGTTTATGATTCAATAATTCAATAGATGAATAATGATCATTCTTAATTTGTTTTGTATCTATTAAATGAGATGTTGTAATTGAATTATTAGTAGTATGTTTCAAATGATGATTAGAATATTTAAGAAAATTAGAAATTTGTTTTAATTTTTGATTTGATGAAATATGTTGAATTTTTTTAGAAAATGATTCAGATCTATCAATTCCAATTAATAATGAATCATTTTTTCGATCAACATTTAATCGATTAGGATCTGTGAAATAAGATTTTGAATCATGATGATGATGATATAATGGTATAATAAAATGATGAATCAATGGTGTATTTGATTGTTTAAATGATTGATTTAAATTTTTTAGAAATTGATTATTTTTTTGAATATTTAATTTTGACCAATCAGAATGTTTGTTTAAATGATGATGATTATTATTATTATTATTATTATTATCATCATCATTTGTCTGTGTTATATAATCAATAAATGGATAGGGGTGATTATTTTTTGTATTTTTGATTATATAATCATTATCAGTATATGGATTCATTCTTTGAAGATGATCTGATGATATAGAAGAAGTTAAATTAATTTTATGATTATGATTTTGTAATTGAATACAATGACGTTTTAATGTCAATGATTGAGGACGTAAATATTCATGATAATAATTTAAATATTTTTCTTTATTATAATTAGAAAATTCTATATTACTTCGACATAAACGTTTTTCATTAAATATTATTTGTTTCATTGAATTATTTGTATTGATTTTATGATCATCATGATGATCATGATCATGATCATGATGATCTTTAGTTGTTTGTGTATTTTCAGTAAGAGTTAAGGTTGAATTAGAATATTGATAATTTAATTGATCTGGATCAGATATTTGATCAGAATTTTGTTCATTATTATTATTATTATTATTATTATTATTATTATTATTATTATTATTATTATTATCTAATTCATGATCAGTCATTAAACGAATAAATGAAGGTGAATATCCTTTACCTATATATTTTATTTTTCCATTATTATTATTATTATCTAATTGATTATTTTTTTTAGGAAATGATTGTAATTGATTTATATTAGAATCAATAATTGGTGAATTATTATTATTATGATTTGATGAAATTGGGCTTATACATATAGATGATGCTTTGAATGATGAAGTTTGTACATGTTCATAATATTGTCTTTGATTTTTATTTTCAGAATTTCGATATGTACAATCAACACTATTAGATCTTATACATAGATTGTTTACTTTATTAGACATATCTATAGTAACAGATTGTGTCATTGAATGATCATGTATAGTTTTATTTCTTTTAATTCTTGGTGGTTTAGGTCTAAAATAATTCTCCCAACAACGTTTAGCTAATTCAACTTTATTTAGATTTGTATGATTAATATTCATTTGATCTAATAGAGAATGATTAATAGATTCAACTTTTCGTTCATTTGACATAACAGATTGACGATTAGTCTTTTTTGTTTTCCTATCTAAAGTATTATTGAATGTAGTAGTAGTAGTACTACTACTATTATTATTCAATAGATTGACTTTATTCGAATTGTTATAATCATTTATCAATCTTTCACTAAGACATGATTGATCTGATAAATTTAAAGGATTACTACTATCATCAGATAAAGTTGGCTTTAATGATTTAAAACAAGTTTCTTGATCATTCAGATTGATTTTCTTTGTTAATTTTGGTTTCAGATTGTTTTCTTTTAAATGTTGACATTGAACAAGTGTTGTTAATAAACTTTCTTCACTGTATTGTGATAGATTTGATTTTGATATTGAATTATTTTTGATTTTATTTATGAAACTATTTTCTGTAGAAACATTTTCATTAGCTATAAGTAACCTATCGAATTCAGAATGAGAAATACTTTCTGCTATTAATGATTGTGGTGGACTATAAAGCCAATATTTTGGAGATAATTCATTTGTAATTTTTTCATTTGTTTTAACAGGATATCTTATCAAATTTGTAGTCTCAATATTATTATTCTGGTTAGATCTATTGTTGTTACAATTGTCAATAGTTACATTACTTCGATGAGATACAGCTGGTGCAGATGTTCTTCGTGATTGGTTTTTTACTGGACTAAGATCTGGAACTGGATTAGGTGGTGCAGGTAATGAAGGTGGAAACATTTGTCTTTGACTTGTTGATGTACTTGATGATGTAGAAAATCTCTGACAATAAACGAAAACGTTGGAATGAGTTGAGTACTTTAAAACATTCAGTAGGTAAATTGACTACTTTTAGTGATATTTAAATAGATTATTCGGTACTATTGCAATTCACCTTTACTTGAATATTTAATGATTATGCTAAAAGTCCTAACTTATAATTGTCAAAATGTTATCTTGCTGTGAAATTCAAATCGATAAGTGTATGGATTTGATTTGATTCTTTCAACTATTCCGAACAGATGGAAATCAGTAAGATCTGGATGGTTTGTTTTCTGAGTCCAGTTATTCATCAGCCGCTCAATGTACAATGTTTACTCATCAGTTTATATTTTTTTAGAGTAATCATGATCAAGTGAATAGTAAATTCACTTAGCTGATGCTTGTGATTACTATCGACTGGAGTCAAGTACACAGAAAAATACCGTTGCTAAACCTTCAGCGCTAATAATCACAAATTCGTATTTCTGGATTAGATTCATTCGTTCATTCAACGGTTATTATTATTATTATTATTATTATTATTATTATTATTATTATTACTGCTCATGATCCCACTCTTAATCGTACATAATACTAGAATTCTTGTTACGTATGTGTATTTATGTGAGATTTTTGTATTGAGTTGTAGCTCTTGATGTTTATAGTGATGTACTGCAATCGTTTTCAATTAATTTTACAACTACACTATTCACTAAACCTTTATATTCATTAAAATATTTTCGGTTCATTTAGATATCAAAGCTAAAAAAATAACACATATTCGTTTTTATGAATTTTCTATTACTCAATAAGGTCAACCGGAGATAATGAATGATAAATGGCTAACATGAAAGTCACTAAATGAAATAAAACTACCGATGGTAGAAGAGCTAAACATATATTTAGACCAGATAGAGGTTTTGTGGATATTATAGTAATTTTTAATGGTTGAACTCATCAGTAAATTGAAGCTAAACAAACATGGAAAACCTGGAATCACTGGACGGCCGTTCCTTCCAAGTATGGGACTCCACATCAGTGCACATCCACGAGCTCGCTTCGCGAGATTCGAAACCAGAACCTACCGGTCTAGCGCACGAGCGCTTAGCCCCTAGACCATTAGTTACGGTCTCTATGAGGTATTTATTCTGAAATTCTAGTGTGAAGCAGTGACCAGTGGAGTTCAACCGGGTCTGTTGTTAGAAAGCAGCTCACTGACGAAAACGGTGGATTTGTCGCTCAATTTCATGGATTAGGCGAAGTTAAACATTAACACGGCTGCTCAGTGTTTCCAGGTTTTCCATGGTGCTCTAGTTTCAATTGACTGATGAGTTCAACTATTAAAAATTACATATTGAAATATTCAAAGATTGGTCTAAAATAATTTCTAAAGCTTTATTAAATTGAAACATAATGGGCGAATAAAATTTACAGTATAGTTGATGCTGCACAAATATTATAACTGTTTAACAACCGGATATTCATGAAAATCATACCTTTTATTATTATTTATCCACTAAAAAAGTGAAGTTTACTAAATTTATTTCTTTATAACCGACATAATTTTCCGGTTATATTTCGTGGTACTTAAATATATATTTCAGTAGTACAAAATGTATAATTGATATTCATTTATTAGTTTGCGCAAAATGCTCAGTAAGTTAGACAATTTGAAAGTACTTTTCTCAAAATCCTGTTATTTACTGAATCCCATTTGCTGTTTAAGCAACATGATGGGTAGTTTTCTCGGTCTAAAACATCAACACGTAACTTGTTCAACTCTCAAAGCCGGTTCATACTTGTAAAAAAATGGTATTATAACTGAGCAGTAATTACAAATTCACATATTAACTAACAGATAGAGATTCAAAGTTTTTATTACATATGTAAAGTGATGTCTGGTTACAGCAATTCCTTACTTATGCCTATTACCTCTCATGAAGGAGCCCACCAGCATTCTTCATCCAATACAGTACAACGATGAAAATCTATGCATATTTATACTAAATACATTCATTAATTAAAATTGGTAACTTCGATCATTGTGTTGGTAAATTTCACTCTTAGTAACAAATGATACATACTTACTTACGTACTCCTGTTATTTCTAATGGAGCATAGGCCGTCGAACAGCATTCTCCAACACACTCTGTCCCACTCTACCTTCCTTTCCACTTCTATACAATTCTTGTTCATTCCTCTCATGTCTGTCTCCATTTCTCAAAGCAGTGTGTTCTTCGGTCTTCCTATCCTCCTTCTCCTCCTTTGACCTTGAGGATTCCATATGAGGGCTTGTCTTGTGACGCATCGCGGTGCTTTCCTCAATGTGTGTCCTATCCACTTCCAGCTCTTCTTTCTTATTTCTTCCTCCGATGAGATCTGGTTTGTTCCATCCCATCTTAAGTTGCTGCTGATAGTGTCTGGTCAACGGATCCGAAGTATTTTGCACCGACAACTGTTAATAAACACTTGTATCTTGTAAATGATGGCTTTCGTAGTTCTCCAAGTTTCCGACTCATACAGTAGAACTGTGTTGACATTTGTATTGAGAATCGTGACCTTGGTGTTGGCTTGTGGACAACTGTTTTGAGTTCCAGATGTTCTTCAATTGTAAATATTCTGCTCTTGCTTTTCCGATCAGCGTCTTTACATGTGCATCAGACCGACCATGGTCATCAATCATGCTGTCCAAATATGTAAAGGATTTTACATCTTCCAAATCTTCTCCGAAAATTGTGACTGGATCGGCGCATGCTGTGTTAAATCGGAGAATCTTGCTTTTCGCTTTGTGTATATTGAGACCTACTGCTGCTGAGGCTGCTGCCACACTGGTCATTTTCTCCTGCATTTGTTCTTGCGATTGCGATAGAAGGGCCAGATCATCTGCGAAATATAGATCGTCCAACTGCATCCTAGATGTCGATTGTATCCCGTGTTTCACTTCAGATGCTGATGTCTTCGATATACAGTCGATCACCAGGAGAAGGAGAAAGTGTGAGAGTAATCAACCTTGCCTGACACCGGTCTTTACCTCAAACGAGTCTGTTAATTGTCCTCCATGCACGATTTTGCAGTGTAATCCATCATATGAATTCTGTATGGTATTGACTATCTTCTGAGGCACGCCGTTGTGTCGAAGAAGCTTACGTAGTGTTGTTCTGTCCACGCTGTCAAATGCTTTTTCGTAGTCAATGAAGTTGATGTAGAGTGATGAATTCTATTCAGTTGATTGCTCCACAATGATCTATGGAGTTGCGCTTTGGTCCGTACACGGTCTATCCTTATGGAATCCTGCTTGTTGGTCTCGAAGTCGATCGTCTACGCAGTCCTTCATTCTGTTCAACAAAACCCTGTTGAAGACTTCCCGGTGTTGAGAGAAGAGTGATGCCCCTGTAGTTATCACAGTTGCTGAGACCGCTTTTTTTGGTATTTTGATCAGAAGTCTTTCTTTCCAGTCTTTTGGTACTTGTTCATCATCCCAAATCTTATTGAAGAGAATGTTACCGCTACGTCTGCTTTTAGTGCCTCTGCTGTAATGTTGTCTGGTCCTGCTGCTTTGCCACTTTTGATTTGTCTGATGGCTATGCTGATTTCTTCGATTGTTGGTGAGCCAACATCCATTGGGAGGTCCATGAACAAATGGTACATGTTAGTGACTTAATGGAAAATCTATTTGGATTTTACAAGTACAATATACAGAACATAATAACCGTGTTTATTAGGTCATTCACTTAAGAAAATGTAGTATAAATCGATAAAAGAGTATTCTGTTTAAAATAAAGTTTTGTTTTAAATCTGTTCAATTGATGATTGAAAGATATTGATTATTGTTTATTTAGGTTCCATTGTGGTGTGTGCTACTTATATCCACATAAGTAGTATATAACGCTAGTCAGGAATAGAATGTATTTTAGTAGAAGATCGAGAAGATAAGAACGCTAACCAAAAGTGATTGGTACGAAAATGCAAGAACAATAAAGTCTGGGACGATGAACTGACATTTCACAAATTAACTATTCACTATATGATTCTCAGATTTCAGTAAGATGTTCTATAATTTTGTGTTCAACTACATTTGATTGTCCTCATTTCTGTCCTCGTTTACTACACCATAGGTTTATAGATGTTCACCATTAACAATAAACATTTTTCAAGTGAGTTTATATAGTTTATGTCAGGTACTTTATACTACTAAATATTTAATATATTTGACAAAATATATGTCAATCATTTGCTTAGATAATCATAGGGATATGAATATAGGATTAGATATCACTTAAATATAGTTGATGTTACGGTCAAACTTTAAGTATATAATTATTCATAGCTAATAATTTGTCAGTGATTATTTGATTGTTTATTTGTTTAACTAGATTTCAGGTATCATGGTAAGTTTCTCAAGGATTAATAATAATGATAGTAATAATAATAATAATAGTAATAATAATAATAATAATAACGAAGGGGTTTAACAGTGAAATAACGCGACTATGAACCATTTGATATCTGTTTATATAAAAGTTTCATAAAAAAATTTACGAGATACCGTTAACCATAAAATTCATTATTTATCAAATATATAACTTTCATTTTAAAGTGGGACTTAGGAGATTTTAGTAATATGATATTTGAATTCATGAGTCGATTAAAGGTAGACTAGCATAGAAAACCTGGAAGCAATAGATGGCTGTCTAGTTCTGTTGTAGGACTTCTCAGCAGTGCGCATCCAAGATCCATTCAGTAGAATTTGAACACAGGATCTATCGGTTTCGCGCTCTAATATATGTATATATTTGATGTGTGGTAAGTGAAAATGAATATGACTGACTCCAGAGCATGCACTGACGGATATAGTTGAATGACTATTTAATTTATTATTTCAATTCTATCATTGGTTTCTATTCTGGACTTATTGAATACAGACCGCTTATAACCGTATTGAAAAAAGTCTTCTCATCTATCCGAGTATCTGATAATAACGTGACCCAATCTCTCTATAGTATATAGATCATGTATTCACT